TCTCTGCTGAGTGATGCTGGATGAAGTTAAATAATGATGGAGCGTCACATGGTAACCCGGGTCTTGCAACAGCATGGGGGTTTTGCGTGATGGTGATGGTACTTGGCAAGGGGGCTTTGTCCTTAATATTGGGATTTTCTCAGCCCCATTAGCTGAACTATGGAGGGTATACTACGGCCTATATATTGCATGGGAGCAGCGAGTGGTTAGGTTGGAGCTGGAGTTAGACTCGGCGATAGTGGTTGACTTTCTGACAGCAGAGATCAGTGCGGCTCATCCTCTGTCTTCCCTGGTACATTAGTGTCATGGCTTCTTCTCAAGAGACTGGTTAGTTCGTGTGTCTCACGTCTATAGAGAGGCAAATCGACTTGCCGATGGGTTAGCGAATCATGCTTTCTTCTTACCTTTAGGTTTTTATTTGTTAGAGGATCCTCTCGATCAGATTGAATCGATAATGTCAGATGATGTTTGAGGCACAACTACGATGAGGAATGTACGGTTGTAGTCCGATTGTTGGTTTTAAATAAAGTGTGGAGACGTGTGTCTCCAATCGTTCACCAAAAAAAAAAATAACACCTATATATTTTCATGGCTTGTCACCTCAGCTTTTTTAATTACCGAAAAATTGACACATTAGTAAAATCAATAAATCAATCAAAATATGTTAATTAATATTTACTAATTTTTATTATTTTTTATTTAAACTTATTAAAAACATAAATTGTTTTTTGTTAATCTTTATTTTATTTTTACCAAATCCAAGTCCAAATAATAAATAACGGCAAATAGAAAAAATTAAATTTTTGTTTAAGTTTTTACCCAAACCAAGCTCAAATAATAATAATAGCAAATAAAAAAATCTTTGTTTTATTTTTCATCAAACCCGAACCCAAATTATAAATAACAGAAAATTGAAAAATTAAAATTTCTAGTTATATGATTATAAAAAGTGTAGGCCTATCATCAACTATGCTTGCATGAAAAAAAAAAAGCAAAAAGCGTAATGTTATAAGAAGCTCACACATCAGCTATCTGTTTGCTTAACAGAAACGTGTATGATTGAAAAAGGTGTAGCCCCAACATCAACTATGCTTCCATCCTCTTCACGAAGCTACATGACATTGCTGTGGAGACTAATATGAGTCTGTTGGATAAACACGGTGTGAAGTGGTCTACGAAACTTAGTTCTGAAGGTAGAAAAATAAAAATGAGAAGAGGATGAAAAGAGTTCTTCAAAGCTAACTTTGTGAAGTTAGGTGAATTGGTATTGTTGAAGCTGATTTGGGAAGGAGACATGAGCTGTGTTCGTAAGTTCTGTTCCAAGGTGAAGCTATAAAACCAAATGAAACTGTTTATGTGTTTAATGTTTTAGCTTGTGTTAGTGCCAAATACAAATTGAAATGGAATCAATGCTTGGCTTTATTTTATTTTTATTTTGGGTAAAAATTTACAATGTTTGGTGTAGCTTGTATGTTATCTTTTAGGATGTTGTAGGATCCGAGTGAGATTATTGACTGTATGGTGTGAGATTTGTGAATAGTTGAGACCTTTATTCATGTTTTAGTCCATGAAAAGGATCTGTTCAAATGTGAAATCAAACCGGATGAAACCAAACCTCGAACCGTAAATCTGGTATATACACATTACTCATTAGAGATGGAAAAAGGTCAAAATCAACTTCAACAATTTTGATCGTGCCTTTTTCTACATCAACTAATTGTTAGCGCGTTTTGCTACCCAGACTCAGATGAGAATTCAAACTAACGACCCAAACTATCAGTTTAGTGCGAGTAGTAGTGTTGACTGTTACTTAGGTTAGTTGTCTGTTAACTGTTGATGAATCAGCAATCTATATGTAATTGAGATGACAAGGTTGCATTAAAACGGCGCCATTTTCATTTGGGATTTGATTTTCTTCTTTCTATCACTGTTTTCATTGAGGATTTAGGGATTTGATTTTCTTCTTTTTATCGTTGGATCCTTCTCCCGTCTTCTTCGCTTTCTCTCGACGAAGAATTTAAGATTTTTCAGTCTTCATCTAAGGTTTAGTTTCGATCAGATTTGATTTCTTAGTCTCAGTATTTCTTCGATTTGGTGACAATATGTAACTGAAACAGATGGATTTTGTTTTGAATATTTCATAATGTGTGTTCAAAGAATGGATGATCAAGTAAGAGGAATCCCTAAATGATGTCAATTTGGAGAACCTGTAGTGATGAAGACGTCATGGACTGCTCACAACCCAGGAAGATTGTTTCATGCTTGCCCATTTAGAAAACCTGTAAGTATGAATTTCAGATTTTGTTATTTTGAATCACCATAAGGGGATCAGGTCAGCAGATCTCAAGCCCCTCTCAAGGAGGAGGTACCCGATCAAACCGAGTCAACTTAAACCGCTGAACAGCATGATTGTCCCACCCCCCCCACCCCCTTTTTTTTTTCTTCATCAACTAATTGTTAGCGCGTTTTGCTACCCAGACTCAGATGAGAATTCAAACTAACGACCCAAACTATCAGTTTAGTGCGAGTAGTAGTGTTGACTGTTACTTAGGTTAGTTGTCCGTTAACTGTTGATGAATCAGCAATCTATGTGTAATTGAGATGACAAGGTTGCATTAAAACAGCGCCATTTTCATTTGGGATTTAGGGATTTGATTTTCTTCTTTCTATCACTGTTTTCATTGAGGATTTAGGGATTTGATTTTCTTATTTTTATCATTGGATCCTTCTCCCGTCTTCTTCGCTTTCTCTCGATGAAGAATTTAAGATTTTTCAGTCCTCATCTAAGGTTTAGTTTCGATCAGATTTGATTTCTTAGTCTCAGTATTTCTTCGATATGGTGACAATATGTAACTGAAACAGATGGATTTTGTTTTGAATATTTCATAAGGTGTGTTCAAAGAATGGATGATCAAGTAAGAGGAATCCCCAAATGATGTCAATTTAGAGAACCTGTAGTGATGAAGACGTCATGGACTGCTCACAACCCAGGAAGATTGTTTCATGCTTGCCCATTTAGAAAACCTGTAAGTATGAATTTCAGATTTTGTTATTTTGAATCACCATAAGGGGATCAGGTCAGCGGATCTCAAGCCCCTCTCAAGGAGGAGGTACCCGATCAAACCGAGTCAACTTACACCGCTGAACAGCATGATTGTCTCACCCCCCGAGAAAATGTCTACCAGGATAAGTTCTTCTCAACCCGGAACCTTGCCTTTATACTTGTTGAACCTGCTTCTTTCTGTATAGAACCCCCTTCGTAACAGCCCAAACCCGTAGAACCACCCTCAAGAGTATTTGTTCCCGATAGGGCGTTCATTGACTTGGCCGTCGGAGAACCTTCGGGAGGGAAACCCCCTTTCAGTCTTCCTAAGGCCCAATTGACCTTTTATGTAGTGTTTGCAGGATCGGATCGACGACCTCCCCGTTACCAGGACTCAAGCAGGCTTCCGCCCCGGAATGCCTTTCCTCCCAGAGGACGAAACTCGGAGGCACTGCTCTACTTTATGGACGAATCACACACCTCCACGTAGCATCCCCAAATTTGCTCCCGAACAAGATCAATGCAAATTTCTTGATACATATATATATATATATATATATATATTACATTTTTGACAAAAAAAACTATATATATATGTTTGATCTGCAAAATCTTTTTGATTTGTATTTTCATATCTATATCTATATTACCATTCAAAGCCATAAATCTCTATTTTTATGACATTCTAAATTTATTTAGGAATAATGATGAGGATATCTCAGCTGAACCAGACTTAACCGAGCCACAACTACAAAATTTAGAGATGCCGCTTCCAAACAAAGGAGTTATAACTAGACAAAGGACCCGTTCACTTCAAAACAAATACAACTAAGCTATTCTACAAGCCATGACCAAATCAAATCAAGAAAGCCAAAGTCTTATGACTAATGATGCATGGACCGACGAATTGGACATTATAGAAGTTGCGGACCCAATAAAAACTCAAGTTAGCCCTTAATAGCAAATGAAGCCTATGGTAACATTTTCATCAGCCAAGAGCAAGCCAACTAAAACAGTCAAAAGCTAGCAAATCATTTCGGATTCAAAGCAAGTATACAAGGTAAGTTTTAAATTTAATTCAATCATACTTGTTATCTTGACTAATCTCAAACTTTTCTCCCTTCGATTTGCATTAGCCGAGTTATTTGATTCAGTTTATGTAATTTTCTTTAATGCATTTTTGTATTTCGGTTTTGCACTTTTATATTTTTTTGTTTCATAAGCTGAAGAATCACTATATAAGGTTGCCCTGTAGTATTGTAACTTGGTCACATTTGATTTTCTAATAAAAAAAAACCGAATTTTCTTGACAAAGATTAAAAGCAAATCTTGTGTGATTTCTTTTATTTTTTTTGTTGAAACCAGCACCTTCAAAAATATAGAGAAACCTCGTGTTGTATTAAAGGAGTTTTCATTACCTTTATAATACACTTCGATCCACCAGATTACAATATTTGCCTCATTCGACCACCGGTCTAATGGTTTGAGTTCCTCAACCATTCAACCACATTCAATCGTCCCATTCAACCAGTCACTCATTCCATTCGACCAGTCACTCGTCCCGCTTGACCAGTCACTCGTTCCATCCGACCAACAGTCCAATCTGAGATCCCTAGCCATTTGATCCAAATCATTCGACCCACTCGACTACTCGTCCCAAAATTAACCTGTTGATCCGTTAACGCCTTAATCAAAGAGTTATACATCACAAGCGAATTACCGTGCTTGTATCAAACAACATATTAAACTTTTTTATACTCAACAAATACCATCTTGAACTATAAGATGGTTATGTGGTATTGGGTAAAAAGTAGTGAAATTTACTTTTTTTGTATAATGAAAAGTTTCTATAATTTGGTTTTTTGTTTATTGCTGATAATTTCAAATTAAGAAAATTTAGACCGAACAAAGGAAATATTTATTTTTATTATTAAAAAGGTGTAGTTAAAGGTCCTCATGCGACTGTAATAACAAAAAGATTTAAGAGGCACATTCTCTCATTCTTTACACAAGGAAGGAAGAAAAAAGCAAAGCAGAGGAAATTCTCGATATCTCCGAATCAAATCTGAGAAAGACGAAGAAGAAGAAGCGAAATTAGCTTCGAGATCGATGTTCGAGGAATTAGATGCATGAAGTTGGATTACCGGCGGATCTCAATTACTTCACGCAGATTGTTTTGACGCTCGTCTTCCTCTGCATCGGTCTCCTCTTCTTTGTCAAACGAGCGGCGGCTAAGTACTTCGAGGTCGGCGGCTCCGGTGGTTTCGACAGCGACCACCGCCGTGATTTCATGGTTCCCGAAACGGCTTTATGCGCTGTCTGTGGGAAGCTCTCCACCAAGAAGTGCTCTCGCTGCAAATCCGTTCGATACTGGTAATCAATCACCTCAAAGCTTACTAATTTTACGAATTAGGGTTTCTGGATTAGATTTAGACGTATCTGGAGATAGAATTGGAACGTGTTCGTTGCTAATTGCTTAGCTCATGCTTCCACAGAACAGTCTTGCTTTTCAAAGTTTTGATTTTTAGGAATTTTACATTACAAGTCATCCTCTAGATTATCAATGTCTGTTGTGAATTGGTGGATTCTTAAGTTCTGTGAAGTTTTATAATGTTTCTACAGAACAAATCTTTTTGCTTTTGAAAGTTTCGACCTTTTGGATTTTTTAGTGCATCTGTTCTTGAACTCGTTTCCTTTCTGCTACTAGCTCTGCGGATTGCCAAACGTCAGATTGGAAATCGGGACATAAACTGAAGTGCAAGGTGTTTCGGGTTACTGACTCTTCACCGGTTAAAAGAGATGATCTCGATTTCAAAGCTTCTATCTTTGGGAATAGATCTGCTTCTAAGGTTGCATTGGTTCCTAAGCTAAGCCAAAGCAACGCTATCATCAAGCCAACAGATGTAATGTGTCTTCTTTTTACTCACCTGTTGTTTTGTTGACACTCTTCTTGATAGTTTTGTTGATTGTTGCAAAGTCTGATTGATTCTGTTTGTATCTTCTACAGGTTCTTTTCCCATACGAGACTTTTGTTGAATATTTCAACTCGGATAAACCTATATTGGCTCCTTGTGGGCTCATCAATTGTGGAAACAGGTTTTTTGTTCATCTGGTTTCTAGTGTAGCTTTTAAAGCATCTTCTTTTTTTTCTTTACTTTAGTCTGATTCTCTCTGTCAATCTACTTTCAGCTGTTTTGCTAATGTGGTTCTTCAATGCCTTTCTTGGACACGCCCTCTTGTTGCGTACCTTCTCGAGAGAGGCCACAAGAGAGAATGTAAATTTTCTACCGCTTCACAACTCTTCGGTTAGATTTTCTGTATTGCGCTTTGCTTCAACTTTGCCTCTACGTTGTGTTTGATAGGTAGGCGCAATGATTGGTGCTTCTTCTGTGAGTTTGAAACTCATCTCGAAAGAGCAAACCAAAGCCGGTTTCCTTTTTCGCCTATGAACATTATTTCGCGGTTACCCAACATTGGTGGCAATCTTGGATATGGGAGACAGGAGGATGCTCACGAGTTGATGAGGTCAGCAACTATTACTCGTTGGTGTGAGCCTAACGGTTTAGTTTCTGGCAATCTTTCAGCTAATGCTTCTAAAAACTCGTGTGATCTTTAGGTTTGTAATCGACATGATGCAATCTGTTTGCCTCGACGAATTTGGTGGAGAAAAAGTGGTGCCTCCTCGCGCCCAAGAAACAACACTTATTCAATATATATTTGGCGGTCTCCTTCAGTCACAGGTGATGTTTCCTAACACGACTATGCTGGAAAGTGTGTTTACTTTTAGGTTTCAATCGTCGAGTCACTATGTAATTAGTTTAAAACAGGTTAGCCTAGGCTAGGGCCTACATTGGATCCTTCGTTTTGTTCGATCCTAGACTGGATTGTGCTGTACTCAAGAACTGTTGCTGAACTGAACTGTGAGCCTTCTACTCATTTACTGCGTTTTTGTTATTATCTTTCGCAGGTCAAGTGTACTGTTTGCAGTAATGTTTCTGATCAATATGAAAATATGATGGATTTAACCGTCGAGATCCACGGGGATGCGGTATCGTTAGAGGAATGTCTAGATCAGTTCACAGCTAAAGAGTGGCTTCAGGGAGACAACCTTTACAAATGTGATAGGTATTTATATTCCTTCTCAACTCCTTTATTTCTCTAACAGAGGGACATGTTTGGTGGTATGGTATACTCATCCTGTGAATGGACTGTGTTTTCCAGGTGTAATGACTATGTGAAGGCATGTAAGCGCCTTTCAATTCGTTGTGCTCCAAATATTCTTACGATTACCTTAAAAAGATTTCAGGTTTTAGCTCCATTCCCCTCACTTTTGCTCTCAGTTAGTAGTCTCTTTGCATCTGCATATTCCTCTGATATGGGTTGTCTAATAAATCCTAAAACTACGTACAGGGTGGGAGATTTGGTAAACTTAACAAAAGAATTAGCTTTCCCGAGACATTTGATCTTGGCCCTTACATGAGCAGTGGAGGAGAAGGATCTGATGTATACAAACTCTACGCTGTGATTGTCCATTTAGATATGTTGAATGCCTCATTTTTCGGCCATTACATATGCTACGTTAAGGACTTTCGCGGAAACTGGTATAGAATAGACGACTCTGAGGTAAGAATCATCTTTTGATCAACTCTTGTTGTTTATTGTTTTCATATTACGAATGTCAACAACATAAATGACGATTCCATGATGTGAAAACTAGAATTTTTTCAGAAATTTTATAATCTTGTGACAAAATACTCGCAGGTGGAAAAAGTAGAACTAGAAGATGTTCTTTCTCAACGAGCATACATGCTCCTCTACACCAGGTGAGCCTTCTACATGATACTAATATCTGCATATCCTTTTTGCCGAGTTTGTGAATTTGCTAGAACAGGCAATCATGTATTAAGAGAACTAGCTTTAACAGTTTATGATTTCTGATGTTGGTTGGTGCAGGGTTCAGACTAGACCATCAAGTCTTAGAGCAGAAGAAGCTCAAGATGAGAAGAAAACAGATACATTGAACACAGAATCTAGCCAAGATGGCTCTGTTGAGAGTTCCGAGGTGGGAGCAAATGACAGTAGTGTGTCCTCGCTGTGCAATGGCATCATGTCACATTCAGAAGACCTTGAATGCAATAAAGAATCATCGTCATCATCATCATTGTCATCACCTGTAACTGTCACCGAAAAAGTAAAAGAGGTTGACGAAGAAAGGGTTGATACAGTAGATTCAGAGTCAAACTCTGCTGTTGACATGGAACAGGATTCTGGAACAGATCATCAAGAAGAAGCAGCAAATGGGAAAGAAGATCCTACGGTTGAGTCATCTTGTTCGGACATTACTACTTCATCTCCATCTGCTGCTACAGAGTCCAAATACTCAGAGAAAGAAGATTCAGACACCGAGATGATGGATGAATGATGCTCAATGAATCCAAAAGGGATGGTGAGGACTCGCGACATTTTTCATGGCTCTTGAAAATCGTCAAGGGAGCTTCTAACTTAACAATAAAATTACTTTAGACGCTGCGACTTCTGGTGCCTGAACGATATATATATAGAAATTGGGAATCTCCATGTTTAGAAGAAACCTTAGGGTTCTTAGTGGTGAATTTCTCAAGATTGGTACTTAGTGATATGAGATAGAAACTTCAGGATCCGGAAGTACGTAGGTAAGTTATTCTTTTGATGTTAAAATAGATTTTACCATTGAACCCAAAACTCTCATAGAAAGAAAGATTAATAGAGGGAAAAGTGACAATTTTTGTGTTTATTTTTTGGTTTGGAAATTACAGGGCCAAGCTAAATTCTGACTTTGGTTGGCTTTCAATTCATTTTTTGTTTTGGTATTGTGGTCACAATAGTAATTTAATTTTAACTCCGAATTAGGCTTTTGCTTAGTTTACCATAATGAAAACTGCAAACTCTAAAAAATGTTTAGTCAATTTCTCTGTTCTTAACTTCTGATCTCATTTGGTTTAAATAAGAGTTAGTATAGTGCATTGTATTATCAAGATTTAGTGAAAGGTAGGTAGGTAAGAATACTACAGTTAAGATGATCATAATCTGGATAATTTTGAATAAGACTAAACGAGACTGATATATTGGCAACCTTAACCGAACGAAACGGTTCTAAAGAAGTTGCCGACAAGTCAGCTTTACAAATTAAAGACAACATAAAGTTGCCTTTGTTTTGTCTTTTTCGTTTTCTGTTTATGGCGTTCGTTTCTTTTTTAATTAACACGGCTTCAACGTTAATCAAAAGGTAGTAACTCGAAAGATACTAAATCAGTGTATGTGTGTTTTGTTAGATTGATGCGAGTGGAGAGAAAAATGAGCTACAAATGGCTGAAAACGTATTTTATTCTCTGACAATTTGTTTCTAAAATTTAAAAGAACTATAAATTACCAAAATAAAATAGATTTGTTTTTCACAAAATATATAGAAACATTTTTGTTTGAGTGTAAGTTCGGGTTCTAAATTAACTAGATTCATGGTTTCACTGTCTCCTTTGTAATCCCCTAGGTTTCGTTTCATAAATCATATTTATCGTAAGGAGATGGAAGCAACCTTATTTCAGTATTAAGCGCTAGCAAAATGAGGATATTTGATGCCAAAAGAATCACCCCTTTTTCATTCTTTTATCAATTTAGGAAATAAATATCTGAGTATTCTTTTTGAGAAAAGTTAATGAAATCAAATATATCTATAAAGTTAATGAAATCAAATATACACATTTGTTTTTATATAAAAAATGACATACTTCAATTATTTAATTTCTAAGTATCATTTAAAATATTTAGATTTACATTTTTTACTTTTATTTTTCCATTTTCTATTTGAAATCGTTAATACACTCGATCGTGTTATATCTAATAGTTTTGAAAAAATATTCTCACTATATAATTTGTTACTTGATTGATAATATACTAGATAATCTAGCAAGATTGCCAATATAACTTCTATCAAATATTTATAAGAAATTAAAGATGATAAGATATATATTATGCGCAAAATAATTAAAAAATGAATAAAATAAATATTGACCGATGATTAAAAATGTATTATAATATAAGTTTTAAATAATTATTTAATTATTTAAATTTAAAGAGCTATGATAGTTAATATAAATTTTTTTCCACACCTTCCACCTTTGTGATTAGGAGCTTTGTTCCCCATATAATTGTGTTTGATGAACAATTTGGTTTTGCAAGACATGTGTTTTTATCATCTAGAGTAAATATTTTGTAATCAATGATCAAATGCACTTGCGACACATACATATTATCATTCAAAACCAAAAACTAGATTTGTCCCTTTTATTACAAAATCTTCCTATTATTTGAAGTAAAACTTGTACCCTTTTTAGATTACTATCATTATTATATTCAGCTATTCACTATAATTTAGATTTGTATATCCATGATTATTCCTCTTTTCCCGTTTTTGTTATAAAAAATTATATATTATTTGTTAAAAATATGATCATGACTCATGAGATGTTAAAAAGACCAAATTTTTGAATTCTTTTATTTTCTTTTGAAAAGGAGATGAATTTGCATCTTGGAACCATCATTGAGGTAGCTGAAGAGGAAACATTCACATGAAAGTGCAAGGGTTCTTACAACTTCTTAGATACCTTTGCTTCTGCTTCTCTCTTTCTCGCATTGCCAAGTATCAATCTCTACCTCTCTCTCTTCTCTCTTCTCTCTCTTGCCAAAACCACTCATTGTCTTCACTCTCCCGCAGGTCACTATTAATGACCCCTTTGAGCTGTTGCTGCTTCTTTGTCTGTTTTTCAAAAATGGGTCTTTAGAAATCCAGGTTTTTGGATCTGGGTTGTTCAAACTTCTCTCATTTTTTTTTGTTCCTTACTTCAGAGATTACTCACTCAAACCTACTCCATTTTCGTTTCCCTGAGATGGGTTTTGCTTAATCTTCAAATTCGAGATTTGGGTCTTCTCAGGAGTTTCTCAACTTTCAACTCTCCCCAAGAGATTCAACTTTTTTTCTGCTGATTTGTCCCTTTTCAAAAAATCTCTACTTCTTTTGGCGGATAAGCAAAAAAAAAATGGCTCCAAGGTTTGATTTTTCAGATTTGTGGGCGAAGGACACGAGGAGAGCCACACCAGTTGTGGTGAAAATGGAGAACCCAAATTACTCAATCGTTGAAGTAGAGGAACCAGACGGTGCGTTTAGACCAATGGAGAAGAGTAGAGGCAAGAACGCTAAGCAAGTGACTTGGGTTTTGCTTCTTAAAGCTCACAAAGCCGTTGGGTTTCTCACTTGGTTAGCTTCAGTGTTCTGGTCTCTCCTTGGTTCGGTCAAGAGACGGCTCAGTTTCACTCACCCACTTGGCTCCGAGAGGCTTGGCAGAGACAGATGGCTTTTCTCAGCCATTAAGCTCTTCTTAGCTGCCTCATTGTTGGTTCTTGGGTTTGAGTTAGTTGCTTATTACAGAGGATGGCATTACTTCAAGAACCCTAATCTTCACATACCTACAAGCAAACTTGAGATCCAGAGCTTGTTTCATCTGCTCTATGTTGGTTGGTTGAGTTTAAGAGCTGATTATATCGCTCCTCCAATCAAAGCTCTCTCCAAGTTCTGTATCGTGCTGTTCCTTGTACAGTCTGTAGATCGTTTGGGTCTTTGCTTAGGCTGTATTTGGATTAAGTTTAACAGGATTAAGCCGAGAATCAATGAAGACCCTTTTCGAAATGACGACGTTGAAGGGTCAGGATCTGAGTATCCAATGGTTCTTGTTCAGATACCAATGTGCAATGAGAGAGAGGTATGGAGAACAAAGTCTCAATCTTTCTCTCTTGTTTTCTTGTCCTTATGTGCTTAATTAGATCAAGTGATGTTACTTAAATGTGTGCTTTTGTTCAGGTATATGATCAATCTATATCTGCTGTGTGCCAGCTTGACTGGCCTAAAGATCGAATTCTGATTCAGGTTCTAGACGATTCGGATGATGAAAGCATTCAACAGTTAATTAGAGCTGAGGTTACTAAATGGAGCCAAAAGGGTGTCAACATTATTTACAGGCATCGTTTGGTTAGAACTGGTTACAAAGCTGGTAACCTCAAATCCGCAATGAGCTGTGATTACGTTGAAGCTTACGAGTTTGTTGCAATCTTCGATGCGGATTTCCAACCAAGCTCGGATTTCCTTAAGCTAACCGTTCCACATTTCAAGGTCTGTAGAAAAGTTTTTGGGTTGTGTCATGAGACTAATAAACTGGTGAAAGCTTCTAACTTCTAACTTGCAAATGCATATGTTGTTTTCAGGAGAAGCCTGAGTTAGGTCTGGTTCAGGCAAGGTGGGCGTTTGTGAACAAAGACGAGAACTTGTTGACTCGTCTCCAAAACATCAATCTGTGTTTTCACTTCGAGGTTGAGCAGCAAGTTAATGGCGTGTTCTTGAATTTCTTTGGCTTCAATGGAACTGCTGGAGTATGGAGAATCAAAGCTCTTGAGGAATCTGGAGGTTGGCTTGAAAGGACAACCGTTGAGGATATGGACATAGCTGTTCGAGCTCATCTCCATGGATGGAAATTCATATATTTAAACGATGTCAAGGTATTTATTATTATTATCTCTGTGTTCTAGTAACAGTTTCATTGAGAATAGCCTTGACTGAAGTAGAAAAAAACAATCTCTTAGGTTCTTTGTGAAGTCCCTGAGTCATATGAAGCATACAAGAAGCAGCAACACCGATGGCACTCGGGACCTATGCAGCTGTTTCGCTTGTGTCTTCGAGCAATCTTAACCTCAAAGGTATGCAAGAGAGCGATGGTTTTGTAATGTAATCTGATTCATTTCAATGTTTTTAATGGTTCTCTTTGTTCTCTCTTACTGTAGATTGCAATGTGGAAGAAAGCAAACCTGATTCTTCTGTTCTTCCTACTAAGGAAACTCATACTTCCTTTCTACTCCTTCACATTGTTCTGTGTGATCCTTCCCATCACAATGTTCGTTCCAGAAGCTGAGCTTCCTGTTTGGGTCATCTGCTATGTACCGATATTCATGTCACTACTTAACATCCTTCCTGCTCCAAAGTCTTTCCCTTTCATTGTTCCTTACCTCTTGTTTGAGAACACAATGTCTGTCACCAAGTTCAACGCAATGGTCTCTGGATTGTTCCAGCTCGGTAGCTCCTACGAATGGATCGTAACCAAGAAAGCAGGAAGATCATCAGAGTCTGATCTTATGGGTCTCACCGAGTCCAAGAAGATTCCACCAAACCAGATGCTAAGAGGAGTTTCAGAAAGCGAGATAAGCCAACTCGAGGAGCCGAAGAAACAATCAGTTCCGGTGAAGAAAACCAATAAGATATTCCACAAAGAGCTCGCGCTTGCGTTTCTTCTGCTCACTGCAGCAGTGAGGAGTCTCTTGGCTTCTCAGGGAGTGCATTTCTACTTCTTGCTGTTCCAAGGTCTCACCTTTCTTCTTGTGGGTCTTGATCTCATAGGCGAACAGATGACCTGAGAAAGAAGAAGAGAAGAAGCTTCAGAGCTGCAGAGAGAAAGAATGATTCAAGATTCAGTTAAAAACTCTGTGAGTTCCTTTCTCTTATTCCCTAATGTTGTAGCCATAGTTTGTAGGATATTTATTGATTTTTAATTTGGTTATTTATATCTCTCCATTGTGATTAATCCTTGATAGGTTAGAGTTTAAGCCACATCTATACCTCTCTCTCTCTAGATATATACAGTATCTACAAAATTCAGGAACTTGTTGCTTAAACTCTCATAAAATAGCTTTTTGTTCTTCTTCCTCTGTTTTTCTCTGATTCATATTCATTACAAGCAATACATTGTTACATACTTACATCTGACAAAACTGAAACAAGTGTATAAACAAAAACAGATTTATGTCTGAACTTGAACTCATCTGAGTCTCTGTCAAGATGTCTGAATCTCAATAATGGTATCAACTCAATGATGTGAAAATTAATGGGACCAAACAAAACTGATCTATAGACACGTTGATTGATTATGATTCTAAGATCGAAACTTAGTGATGATCTTGTCTGATCCAGATATACAAAAAAAGAGTATTAACAAAAAAAAAAAAATCTGGAATCTGAATAAAAGTAGTCAGATGTGTATAGTCTTTTGTTTATACAAACTGCTGAACATTTTTGAAATGAACATCAAGCAGCAAAGTTTTTGATTGATTTCTAACTTAAAAGAGATGATTATATCAAAACATGTTAATCTGCATCCACTGAGAAATCTGGCTCATCCGGTTTAGGAAGCATAGGTAACTCAACAGCCTTCAACTTATCAGCACTCCTCCTCGTGTTCTTAGCAAACCTCGAAGCAAGAATCGTTGCAGCGAAATGCGGTTTCCCGATTTTGGAACTATGATGACGAGTTAGAGCGTTCTGCGTCTGTCCTAAAGGACTCAACTCCTCTGTTGCAGCAACCGCCATAGCTTCTTCTTCTTCGTAAGAATCGAATGACTCAGCCAAGCTAAGACTCTTAGCCAACATTCTACTCTTATACCGTCTCCAAGCGACTTGTACGAAACAAGCAGCCCAAGTTCTCCATTGGTGAGAGTAGTAACGGAACGTGTGTTGCAGCTTCTTGCTATGTAAACGCCTGAACTGGTTAGCCACAAACTTGAGATCCTCTGCTTGTAATGCAAAGGCTTCAACTTCTTCTAAAGCTCTCACCGTTCTAGTTGAGGATGGTAAGTTCACTTTTGATTTTGGAAGCAGTGCCCAAGCAAGAAGCTCTTCTCCACAGAACTCTCCTGGTCTAAGTGTGATTGAGTTGAAGAAACCGGTTCTGCCTCCATTAGTCGTTGAGCTATCGAGCTTCCCACGGATGATGAAGAGCATTTCCGTCACTGGATCGCCTTCACGCACAATGTAGTTCCCTTGTGTGCTTAGAGACGACACTAACCTTTCGCATATCGCGTCTAGTAACTGATCATCCATTTGCGCAAATAACGGTACCTGAAAAGACCATCAAGTCGGAAAATCTTGAAACAGAGTTCTTGCAAGAAGAAGCTGAGAAAATGTGTTTTAGTTTTGGGTGATGAATACAACTTACACGACGAACAAGGTCGAGACAGAGATGTCTTTGGATGTCTCTACGGAGATCTGCTGGTAACGAATGAAGAATGGTTTCTTCGTCGACTCCTCGAGTAGCTAACCATTTATACTGAACGAAACGCCTCACTCGTTCTCTTAGGTTCTGTGGTAGCTGACGATGTCTCATCCATTCTTCTGTGTCTCTTCTCTTCAGTCTCCACTCCTCAAGCCTCACCGTGATCGATTGCAAATACGTCTATAACACATTTAACCAAAACAAGAATCAAGAAAATATCACATTTCGATCTTATGTGACCGATATTAAGAAAGAAGATTCACATATTCACCTGCATGTTTCCGATCAAAAGAGCAAACAAAACAAGACCAAAGATCGCCACGAGGATCGCAAACATTGTCTCAAGAACGGATGTACTTGTTTCAAGATTCTGTCCATAAGAACTTTTAACAAGAAGATTATGTTAGAAAAGACCATTAAGCGACTAATATGAGTGATTAATGAATGAATATATATACCTTAGATTCTGCAATCCAAACCATAAGCAATACAAATACTTCTCCAAGAAGGGCGAAGAAACAACACTTTTGGTCAATGCGTCCGCGAAAATCCCGAAAGTGAACTGAATCTTATTCGAAGGATCACAGTTGCTGAAGACAACGGTCACATTCTGCCAATTGTTCCGATCATCATGGTTCAACGTACCGCAATCAAAGAAATCGGTTTTACATCGTATAGGCGCTAATTCTCTATGACATTCTGCTTTCCAACAAGTCGCTTGACGTTCTATTGACAATAGATACCACGCCGCACCAAGAATCTACACAACAACAACAACAAGAAAATGTGAAAACATAAGAAGAAGAGAACATAATGGTTATACTTTGAAGAAGTTCAGCTATTCTCAAACTTTAGCTTCAAGAAACGATATAAAAGCAAGAAACAAAAGACAACACACTGACTTTACAGCTCTCTTGAGTTGGTTAGAGAGCATTTTAGTGAGCCTCTCACTAACTCTCTGGTTTGGTGAAGGAACTCACATGGCTAGCGAGCATGTACTGGAGGAGATTGTAAGCAGCACCGGCCCAAGCGGTGGTTGTAACGACTCCGGTGGCTTTGATAATCTCAGCGCTAAGAGGGAAAATAAGATAAAGGCGAGGAATGTATTGAACAAGAACAATGAGGACAAGAGCATTTGTGGTATGATCTGAGTGAGAGCTTCTTATTGATGGCAAGATAAACCAACTAACAATCTGCAATCAAAAAGAAAGACAACCAATTTTATTTATTATTACAACATTTGCAAACTCTAATAGAAAAAAAAAAAGATTTTGCTGAGTAACCAAAGTGGGCCATTGGTGGGGGCTTGAGAAAACTCTTTATCAAAAAAAAACCAAAGAGACAAAGATTTGGTGAGTATTTATATATATATATATATACCTGAGGAAGAGGCAAACAAGCGATGAGATCAACGATGAAATCTGATCTTAAGTATCTTCTAGCAATCAATTTAGGATCTTTAACTAGTTCTCCACGACCAAACACTCTTGAAGTACGAGATACATAAGCTGTTCTGAACTTGATGACAATGTGCAAGACGTAGAAGAGATCCGCGAGTGTTCTGAAGAAAGTAACGACGATTCCAAGATTCAAATCTGTGGTCATACAAGAGGATCTTCCGGTGTGTTTGACTGAAGATAGGAAGAAGAACAAAGGGTCTACGTAGAGAGCGACGAGACACCAGAAGAGGAACACTCTGTTCCATTGAAGCACTACGTCACCACCAGGATCTAGAATCTTGTCTCTCTCGATCTCGAAATTCTCCGGGAAGACTTTGAATCCCCCGAATCTTGGGATTCTGAAGAGACGGGTTTTGTTGCTCTTCTTTGGGATTCCTAACTCTGGTGGTTTCATAAATGGAACTGTTGATGATTTGAACAATGGCATACGCTTCTCTTTTACTTCTAGGCTTTGCTTCTCTTCTCCATAGAATCTGTATTAGAAGAAAGAAAATACCATTTTTAATAATTGGGTTTAGCAATGAGATCGAGTAAGAGGATATGAACGAACAAGAAAAGAAAACTTCGATATCTTTTTTCATCTGTTTTGTCTGAAAATCAGTAAAATCAGAGACAAGAAATTAGTAGTATAAAAGAAGGAAAAAAGTTCAACACTTTATTGGGATCGCAAATGCAAAAAAGCCAACTTTTTTTCCATTATTGAGAACCCAAATTCACGAAATTTAAAATCTTCTCTTTTTGTTTATATAAAAAAGTTGTTTTTGATGAAAATCTAGAACCTGACAGTATTGTCTCTCTTGAACTCCATGTTTTTGTGTGGTGAAGCTAAAATTGCCAGAAGCAAGAACAGTTTCTTCTTCTTCTTTCTTGTTAAGGCAATGAGAAACGAATCAGAGCATGAGATATTGAGCTGACTTCTTCATGTTCAGAAAATGGCAGAGAGAGAGAGAGAAAGAGAAAGAGAGAGATGGGCTGTAACAGATTTATTGAGTTTGACTTCACGTGAAACAACAAAAAAAATGAAGAGTGAGAGAGAGAGAAGACTAATGAATAGAGAAACAGCTCATCTTATGCGTTGCTAAGCTAAGCCTAAAGAGATGTAGAACGAGTGAAAGACTACTACTACTTGTTGTTGTGATTATTTTTAAAAAAGTTTTATTGGAAATCGTAAGACAGAGAGAGAGAACGTGCGTTCCATTAATGCCTATTTTTTATTTTTGAAGGAGATGATGATGAGTCAGATGACTAACCATTCTTGAGAAGACGATTCTCTCTAAAGTAGTAGTAGTAGCTCTCGTTTTGTTTTTTGTGTATAAGAATAAGATCCATGAATCACTCCAAATGCACTAGAAAATCAAACATTTGCATTTAGTATGTAAAACAAAAGTATAAATAAAATAGAGACGCGCGAGATCAAATTCTGACTGTTTTCTGATTCCTTCAGATCTCAATAATCTTCTTATGAGCAACAAACTATTTTTAGATGTAACTTTATAATATTTGCACCAAAGGTTGATTAATCGAATGATTTTATACTACACAGATTTTATATTGTTTTGCTAATACGATGACAAAAAAAGAAGAATCACTTTTGCTAACTATACTCAGAAAATTGCTCATTTGATTCCTCAAATATTTGTAATTAGCAAATTTATTCTCTAATTATTTTGTGTATTAAATCTTCAACTTAACGTTTACTTCGTAAATTTAGGCATAAAAAAAATCAATATTGTTGGTATTGGATTCAAATCCGACCCATCAAGACCTCGTTGCAGATCTGTTTCTCAAAGCCTATATATATATATTGTAATATAACTTTTTCGATCGCCTTTATACTTCCTCGTAGTTCTTCTTCATTAGTCTTGTATGCACATCTCCAAGCTTGTCCTTCGTCGTCGATGTGGCCTTCTTCCACATCCCCTATATAAACCTTCAAGGAGACAACAACAAGAGATTTGCCAATGAAAGTACTGATGAATTGGTCTATATTTTGAGATATTGCAGGGTACTTACTTTCTGTCAAAGAGGGCGACGTGAGAAACTGTTGCGGTGAGTCCATATAAAAACGTAATGTAAAAAAGATCTATATTACACATATTTTATATTTGTTTTGCTAATATGATGAAAAACAAAAATCATTTTTGCTCATTACATTTGAGTTTTAATTCTTCAAATATTTATAATTTATAAGTTTATTCTCTAACTTTCGTGTGCATATTAAATTTCCAACTTA